AAAGACATCATGTACATTTATCAAAAAATTCCATCACTCCTGTCCAACATTCACAAATATTCACTGAATACTAAAATTAAAAACCAACAGTAGCTTCAACTGTCACTATTAATGCAGATTTCTTTGGGACCTATACCTCTAGTCTTGACACTCTGAATTCCAACTATTACAAAATATTTTTTCTGCAATACTAATAAGCTAATACATGATCATGGTATCAAAGTGATCTGGAAGTTGGACTTGTGAGTAATTTGCTCATGGAGGAGAAATGGTAGAATTTTAACCTTGGTAATAAAGAAAATAAGCCTTCAGCCTGAGCAGGCATCCTTTCAGACTTAAAACAATGAAAAGTAAACATTTGGATTTAAGATTACTGCCTAGTAAAGCATACTCCTTGCCTTACACAGCTCAGTACCAGCGTATTTCCCTTCATCTCTATTGTTAACAGCAACCTAAAGGACTCACAGATCTATTTTCTAACTGCCTTGAGTCTCAATGCCACCAGAAATCAGCATCTCAACTCTAGTTTGTAGGTTTCAAATATCCCTTGCCTGGTAAGCTGCCTGCCTGGTCTGTTCAAGTTATTTCCTCAGAAATCAATTATTATTCCTGACAGTGTTCTGGTTATAAAACTGTCTTCAAGATCCATCTTCAGCCAGCTCCAACAATATTAAGTGCTACAGGCTTAGTGTGTGATTTGTGAAATAAAAGGTTTCTCAAGAACACAAACGGTTGTAGTGGTGTATGCCTGTAATGCCAGCACTCAGGGATGCTAAGGTAGGAGGATCACCATGAGTTCAAGGCTAGCTAGGGCTACAAAATTAGTTCAAAGCCAGCCTGAACTGCATAATGAAACCCTGTCTCAAAAAACAGAACAAAAAAAGACAACCCCACCACAAATATTAGAACAGATTTTTCCACTGTTCTAGCTATCTTTCTTAACTATGCCCTCAATCAATATATACATCCAAAAACTTGACCCTTTATCTGTTGATAGCCTAGAAGCAAATCACTGGTCACTTATGTCTCTCCAGCCTCCTATATTCCATTATTCCCACGTTCCATTAATTTTCCTTATGCGCTTTCTCTCCCATCACAGTCACCATCATCTGCCATAACTGAAATCTTTAGTACCTCTCTAGATGTATTTACACAGTGTTCAAGATGAATATCCATCTTCAAGACTCCTCTCATCCTAAGCCACCCTCTACTCTATTGCAGGAACTATACAAATCTCTGTTATTTCCTCTACTCAATTCTAATGGCATTCCGCTGTACATAAAGACCCCACACAATTGCCCTACTTTTAGGTCATGATAAGCCCTCTATTCACTTTTACAACTCTACAGAGGTAATTAAAGGCAAACTATAAAACTTGGGTACACAGATGGCAAAATAAAGACACTACAAGTATTAGCCAAAACAACACGACAGGTCAGTTCTAAGAATGTCATCTTCCTGTCCTTAATTTTAGTATTTTAAGTTCTTCCTTTTCATATCTTTAGAGAAAATGGTCAAAATTGTTTTTCTAACTTACTAGTTATGACCTTGAGTAATTTATTATTTTAGTTTTACGAACCTCAATAAAATTAGGCTATGTCTGGGGGTCTATGTCATAGGATTTCTGAAAAAAACTAAATAACAGAATGAATAAAAGGCATAAAGAAAAACATCACAAACATTCATTTTCTTCAGAAATGTTCACTTAAGCCAGTGTGGTGGTGCAAGCCTACAATCTTTGCTGTTAGTAGACTGTGGCAAGAACAACTCAAGCCATACCTTGGAACTTAATGAGATCCAGTCTGAAAATAAAAATGGCTGGAAGAAAGGGGGCCTGGGGAGATAGCTCAGCAGCATGGCTGGGGATTTATCTCAGGCATACAGAACTCAAAGTTCAAATCCCCAGTACTGCAAAAAAATAAAAGTTGACATCAAGAATGAACTAAGAACTAATTATTTGCCTTCTTACACAACCAGCAGAAAAAAGTAGCAAAGAAAGTGATTCACCTGCAAAATCTATATTTATCCCTCTGAGATGAAGGCTTAATCCTAAAAATGTTAGATTTAGGAAAATAGTTTTCTATGTGCTAGGCAAAGAAAACATTATTGCTATAGAATTATACCTTACAAGGGTTGGGGAAGATAGCTAGCTTAGTGGCATAAGCACCTGCCTTGCAAGCAAAAGTCCTGAGTTTGATACCCAGTACAAATACACACACACACACACACACACACACACACAAACAAATATGTATGCCATATAAGATGACTGGGCACCATGAATTATACATACAAAAATATAGAGATACTGAACTCTATCTATGGACAGTAAGTTCTGCCAAAATATAAAACCCTACTAGCATACATATTAAAAACCCACATATATAAAGTCCATTTTTATATATTCAAAGACTTTATATGATTTGTTTTCTATTACAAGTTTTCACATTGTAGCACCACAAAGACTTTCTTTTAGATGAGAAAGTAAAGATAACAGAAAAATCAGACAAAGAAGGAGGTTTTACCTGATTATTCCTACTTTTTCGTAAAGAAAGAATTACACAAAAAGGAAAGAAAAGCCAGCCTTTTCAATAAAATGTACCAGGACAACTAGACCAACAGCAAAACATTATAGCTGGACGCCCCCAAATTCATTCTGCATATAAAAATTAACTGAAATGTGTCACAGTTCTAAGTGTAAACATGGAAACTATAAAAATCTCTGAACAACAAATAGGCATTAATCTTCATGATCCCGGACTGAGTAATGGTTTCTTAGATCTGATACAAACAGCATACCCAGCCAGAGAAACGTAAGATAAACTGAACTGTATCAATGAATGGCTACTGTAAAAAACAGGACCTGAGAGGTAGCTGAGAAGTACAGTGCTTGCCTCAGGTTCTGGATCCTATCCCTAAAAAAAAAAAAAAAAACACTCCCAAGTGTTACAAATGTTGGCAAGGAAGAACATTCATATGCCACCAATGACAACATAATGTAAAATAATGCGGCTACTTTAGAAAAAATTTTGACAGTTCTTCAAAAAGTTGACATAGGGCTAAGTGGACTTTTTAGAGTAGAGCAACTTAGTTCAGTTGTAGAGCATAGGCCTAATGTACCCAAAGTCCCTGGATTCAATTTCTAACACTATGCAAAACATAAATTAATTAATTAAACAGTTATCATGTGACCCCACAAGTTCATTTTTCCTAGAAATATGCCCAAGAGATATAAAAACACATGTCCATGCAAAAGTTCATACCCAAACATTCACAACAGCATTATTCAAAAAGTTAAAATAACCTAAATATACATCAACTGATGAATATGTTAACAAAATATGATATATCCAAAATACAATATCCACACACTAAAAAAAGGGGATACAGATGAATGTCCATTTTGTATCTGTGTATTCAAAGTGGTTAGGATAGATATATAGCTACATTCTCTTAATGAATAGAGTGATTTGTTCTAATGGTATTTGTAAATAGGATATCATGTCCGCATCTTGTACAGCAATTAACCACTAGGAAGAATGTACGCAATGTGTTAATTATTGAAACTGTCCTACCAATTTGATTTGAAACTGTCTCATTGCTATTTGTTTATCAATAAAATTATGGAAAAAAAAATATCCACACACTGGAATATCATTCAAATATAAAGAGGAATACAGTACTAATAGATGCTATGACATGGATAAACCTAAAAACATGAGGCTAAGTAAAGAAGCAAGACATAATTGGCTATATATTACATGATTCATTCTACTTATATGAAAAGTCCAAACTGAGCAATTCCACAGGCAAAGAAAACAGACTGTTGCCAGAATGGGGGGAGGAAGAAGTGGCGAGCTGATTGCTACTACATAAATGTTTCTTTTGGGAGTAATGAAAATGCTTTGTAATCATATGATGCTACTAAGAGTAGCACAACTTTCTCAACACACTAAATGCACTGAGTTATATATTTGAAAAAGGTGATGTTATGGTGTAATTACTCACTTAAAGAACAAAAGAATGAGAGAGGAATAAAACAGCAGCACAACTAAAGAATGAAGTTAGGTACTGCTTTACTCCAGTATGTTCCACAGCAATACTGATTGATAGAAACCCAAAGATGAGTAAAATAACTTACATACACACTCCTCAGGTTCCTTCACCTTAACATACAAATACTTATAACCTACTTGTCGCCAGTAGGGAAGCTTTGAAAAGCAGCAAGTGTAAACCACAGATGATCTAAGAGAATGTAGATGTTTATATTACAAACCTTTCACTAGCCTACAGGTTTTTTCAACCTTTCATTAAATATGGCAGAGGAAAGAGATATGCTTTTAAGTGGTTGAAATAACTCATTGTTTCCATTGTTAACAATAACACTTTCCAAAAATTATTATTACTTAATAATGGTTTGTAGTACTGAGGATCAAACCCAGAGCCTTGCACGTTGACTCAAGTATTATCACTGAGCTACACCTCCAGTCAGAAAATGTTTTACAAATAATATTCTTGTTAACTACTTTTTAATCAGAACACTTCTTGATCATACCATTTTGAATATACTCTTTCTCAGAAACTCCTGAATTCTTTCTTTTTCAGATTTAAAAACCTTGCAAGAAACACTAATGTCCTAAAAGAAAATGTTTTAGGGGCTGGAGATTTAGCTCAGCAGCATAAGTGCCTGCCTGACAAGCAGAAGGTCTCACATTCAATCCCTAGTGCTGCAAAAAAACAAAAAAGAAAGAAAATGTTTTAAAAATTTATTACTATAATCACAGGAAAACTCATTTTCTGACAACAAAAAGAAAGTTCTCTGAACCCAGAAATCAAATGTTCAGAGTTTCAGTCCCAAATTTTTACAATTCAGGGAACATAAAATAACTAACAAAATTCAAAATAATACTTAGGCAACAAACTGTAACATTAGTTTCTTTTAATAATTACCCATATTAAATTTTCAAAGCAGCAGAAAGTAAAATCTTCATTATTATTACCTTATCTTTGGCTTCAGGCAGTATAATTTCTCTAGGTTCTAAAAATGGTATTTCTCGAAAAGGTGGAACACATCTGACTATCTCTGGAACATAGGGTGTATGAAACAATGGTGGCACTGAGTATCTTCGTTCACCTGATAAAGGCACTATGTGGTTAACTACAGTTGGCTCTTGGTGGGGTGAATGGAATCGTTGCCGTTTACTGTCAAGAGGCAGGTTTTTTTCATCACTTAATCTCCTGAAAACAAGCAATAGACCTTAGTGATTAAAGATAACATTTTCTGGAAGTAGAAAATAATTAAAAATACATAAGTATCCTAACTGTTTATTAACAATGTATGACTTTCAATAAGATCACATTATTAGCTAATATTGAGATTAAAAATACTCATTTCAACAAAAGACTTTTAAAACCTTTAAAACATGAGTAGTAACAACAGTTACGGTTTGTGCCTAGCTGTCCCACCAAAGCCTCAAGCAGTTTTATAGGTCACTGGGTTGGTTTTTTTGTTTGTTTGTTTGTTTGTTTGTTTGCAGAACCGGGGATCGAACTCAGGCCCTTGCACTTGCCAGGGAAGCGCTTATTCTACTGAGCCATCTCCCCAGCCCTTTCATGCAGTTTTAGATGAGGCTTTTTCACAGGTGGCTGACTCTAAGAGTATATAATTCATACATGGGGTAATGCTGGGATTAAGGGTGCTGGGATTAAAATGGGTGTTTGCTGGATCAGCGTACTACTGCCCTAATCCCAATAGGCCAGATATAATATGAAGATAGAAAGAAATTTCTCTTCCTTGTTTTCTTATTGCTTGTGCTGACTTCTACCACTATGAACAATTGCCCCTCTGCCATGTGCCACCCCGCCATGGAGCCAGTCTATTATGGAATGAAACCTCTTTAAAAACTAAATAAACCTTTCCCCTTTTAAGGGGTATGGAGTATTTTGTCTCAGCAATGAAAGAAAAGTAAAACAAGAAAGACATCATTAAAACAATAATGCACAGAGAAATAAAGCTAAATGTATGTATCATGGCTAGCCTTCTGCATTTGAACATCCCAATGTTCATCACACAGTAAAAATTTTATGGATAAAGTTCTACATACAGGATCACTAAGATCCAAAACTCTAAAATCTAACATAACAAAGTTTAAGACTGAGTTGAAACTGAGTGTGTTGGACCGGCCAAATAGCTCAGCGGATTAAAGTGCCTGCAAGCTTGGCAGAGGCCAGGGGTTTGATCTTGCATGCAGACCGCGCCCCAGGGGCACTGAGATGGCAACTGAGACTGGGCGTGGTGGAACACACCTGTAATCCCAGCTCTTGGGAGGCTATAAATAGGCAGATCACTAAGAGTAGGATCTAGTAGTAAGACCCTGAACACCCTTCCTTAAAAAAAAAGAAGAAATTGAGTGTGATAACACATATCTATAATTCCTGCTACTTGGGACAGGAAGATGTTAGGCTTGAAGACAGCCTAAGAAATTTAGTGAGACTGTATGTAAATAGGAAAAGAGGCTACAGCACAGAGAGTTCTTTGGTACAATCCCCAAGCCACACACATACACATAAAAAAATGGAGTTGTACTATATATAACTTTTTTATTATTTATTATACCTATAGCTTCCTATTCAGTTAAGAAGGAACAAATTAAGAAATAAAAGCTATAAAAATATTAGATAACAGAACATTTGAAAATGAACTATTTCAGATACAGAAACAGTACTGTACTAACAGAAATTTCTTGGGTTTTTTTTTTTGTATTTAGCACAGGGTCTACAGGGTCTCTATATACACATGGGTCTTATAATGATCCTCCTGTTTTCAGTCTCCCAAGTATAGGGATTACAGGTGCATGCCACCACGCCCAGTCTCAATCCCTCCTGAGCGAGCCCCTAAGAGTGGCTGGGGTGGCATGACATGCCTAGCATGCCTGCCGGAGATCAAACCCTGGTCCATGCCCAGAGATCAAACCCTGGTCTTTGTGCCTCTGCCTAGGCCTAAGCAGACACTTTAATCCGCTGAGCTGTCTGGTTGGCCTGATCAGTGCATTTTTTTAATGTAAAAGAACATTCTTTTTAGGAAGAAAAAGTGAATATATTTTGGGATAAAGTAAAATGGTAATAACTTTCATATGATTCAGAAAAAAAATTAGAAGAAAAACATCCAAAAAGAAACAAATGTAAAGTGAGGCATGGGAGTACACGCCTGTTTCAGCACTTGGGAGGTTAAGAGAAGAGGATCAAGAGTTTGAAGCTAAACTAGATTACAAAGTAAGTCCCTGTTTAAAAACAAAAAAAGAAAGCAAATGTAGCAAAGCTTTGACAATGTAAGCAGCCCTATGTTCAATGCACAACACTATTAAAAAGGAAAAAAAAAAGAATCCAAGGTTTGGGGCTGGGGAGATAGCTCAATAGAATAAGCGCTTGCTTGGCAAGTGCAAGGGCCTGAGTTCAATCCCCGGTTTCACAAAAAAAAAACCACCAAGGTTCAGTATCCACAATATGACTACCTTTGGAAAAAAGGCCTATAAAGGAGTAATTAAGTTACAATGGGATCCATAGGAGTGGCCCTCACACAGGATGGTTGGTATCTCAAAAGAGATGTCAGGCTTGATGGGACATGTCTCTACTGCCAGCATTCCGGGAGGATGAAAGTTCAAGCCCATACTGGGAACTTGGTCAAGACCCTGTCTCAAAGTTAAATAAGGCTAGAAATACAATTCAGTGAAAATATCCTAGATTTAACTTTCAGTACCACAAAAAAAAAAAAAAGAACAAGATTAGGACACAGAAAAAGTATATAAGGGCACAGTGAGAAGATTGTCCAGGTGTGGGTAAGGGAATGTGAAAAGAATCAGGATGTTTTATGTACATTACCAACTCCATACAATGAAGATAATCATCAACTGTACTAATAAATAAAAATACATATTTCTTAAATGGTCATCTATAAGCCAAGGAGAGAGGCTACAAAAGAAACTGACTGTGCTGACGTCACAATCTGGACTTATAGCATCTAGAATTGTGATTAAAAAACAATCTATTGTTTCAGACACCTAGTGCCAGTCTGTAGTGTTTCATTATGACAACTACAGCAAATAAAAACCAGAAGATAATATGATTTGCTAAAAATCTCAATTGAAAAGTAGTTATCTGAAGAAATGCAGTTTCATTCCATGGGAGTAATACAATAAAAAAAAAAAAAAAAAAAATCACTAAAAATTTTTAAACACAGGGGCTGGGGAGATGGCTCAGTAGAATAAGCGCTTCCCTGGCAAGCGCAAGGGGTCTGAGTTCAATCCCCAGTTCCGCAAAAAAAAAAAAAAAAAATTTTAAGCACTAAAGAATTTTACATTTTGTTAAATACACAAGTCCTAAAGAATAAGTATCTAAGGTATAGTATCCATAAAATTTTACATAAGGTAAACTGTTATATAGTTAAGAGCCCCAAAATCTTTTCAATTACATTTTTATTTACTACTTATGATTACTATAAGTAAGTGTTTCCACTATGGAAAAGAAAGTATGGTACATTTTCATGACTGGGGAATGGATTTTCTGAAGTCATCTTCAACAGGGTAAAAACTGAGAAAAACAAAACAAAACAAACTAATAGCCTGAATGTTGGAATTCAGTTCTTTATATAAAGTCTCTTGTAGAAACAAAACAGAATTAAAAATAAAACCAAAAAGAGCGGGACAGCAAAATTTTAAAAAGGAAAAGCAGAGAAGTTAAGAAGACTCATTCAAACTCTTCTTGTAAAGTAAATGAAAAGTACTTACTTCCTTCCTCGAAATATTGGGGACGTTGAAGTCTGTACGGGACTGATATTTCCATATGTTAGTTGCTGTAAAGACACAGCTCTAGATAAGCTATCAAAAACAAAGAAAGAACAGTAGTAAAATATATATATTTTTCCTAAGGACCAATTTCAGACAAAGGAAGTATTTCTCTGTTCAAGGGAAAATAAGAAGCAGTAACATATTCCCTATCATCAAATGTCTCATACAAGATAGGTTTTATGTTAAAAAAAATGAAAAAGGAACCAAACAACACTATACTTACTCTGCATTCTGGAAATTGAACTGTGCATCTATAAGCTGCTGGTGTGAATAAAAAGTTGGTGACAAAGCAAAGAAGTTATTATGTTGTTGATGGTTTGGAGTGAAGGGCGGGCGACCTAAAATTGAATTCGGGAACATGCTCTTGCTCACTGGAAGTACACATGTATTCTTATTCCTACAATAATTTAAAAAGATAAAAGTGTATTACCATCTCTTCAAGATACTGTACTAAACTCTGAAAATTATCTGCTATATAAAAATTAATTAATTGTAAGTTACTAATTCATTTACAATTATTTTTTAAAAGTTGAGATAGGTGGTACATGTCTATAATCACAGCATTCTGGAAGGCTGTGGAAGGAAGATTTCAACTTCAAACCCGGCTTAGACAACTTAGTGAATCTGGTGGTTTCAAAAACAAATTTTCAAGGACTAGGGTTTAGCTCACCACTAAGCCCTGCATTCAATTCCTCGTACTGAAAAAAGAAAACACACACATACACACTTGCAGTTCTACTGTAGGTAACAAAAAATAATGAACTTTACAGCTGAAGAGATAGCTCAGTGGTCTAAGCACTGCCTAGGCAAGCACAAATACAAAGGTTTGATCCCTGATACTACTGCTGTGCCAGCCCTACCCCAGGCATGCTGAGTCAGCCACCAAGACCCGGGGTGGTGGCACACATCTATAATCCCAGCACTGAGGAGGCTGAAACAGCAGGATCACAATGAGTAGTCGGAGCTGCATAGTGAGACCCCATTTCAAATATGTAAAATGTTTTTAAAAAATAATAATGAATTTGAAATCTACACTAACCATATTATTCAACTAATATCAAAATACAAACATTTCTAAATTTCTGATTATGTTGTAATGTTTACCAAATGTATCACCAATCCTTTTTTAAAATCAATTATCAAACATTACCAAATTTAAAAATCAAACATTACCATAAACTCTAATAAAAAACACAAAAGACTAGAGAGATATTTAATGAAATCCTATAGTTTTGACATTTATTCTCAATTTAATACATTAACGTATCAGGCATGATATGACAACCAGATTCCTAGGATTTGCATCTGTTCTATCTAATGAAACAAGGAATTTATTTACATCACCTAAAAAATTATTTTTAAAAATTTCTTTTTTTTTTTTGGAAACAGGGTCTCACGCAGGCTGGGCTTGAACTCACCTATATAGCCCAGGTTGGCCTCAAATTCACAATCCTCCTGCCTTAGCCTCCTAAATGCTGGGTGTATGCCACCAAACCCAGGAAAAATATATAAAATTAAAGATTCTTCTCAAAGTCCACAAAATTTCATATAGAGAACTTAGAAGTAATGGCCACATTCCTGTAACCCAGTATTCTAGCAGGGTAAGGTAAGAGGATTATAAATTCAAGCCCAGCCTGGCCAATTTAACAATTTATCAAAACTCTGTCTCAAAACTAAAACGGAGAAAAGAGCCAGGTGTATAACTCCATACAAAGGCTCTAGGTTCAAACCCCAGTATTGCAAAAGAAAAATAAACTTTTGATAAAAGAGGTATGTGATGGGCATGGTGACACAGGCCTATAATCCAGGTACTGGAGAAGCAAAGGCAAGAAGACTGCCAAGTTCTAAGCAAGCCTGAGCAACTGAGCAAGACCTTGTCTTGAAACTTCAAAAGGTCAGTGGTAGGACATCTGGTAAGCATTCACTAAGCTCTGGGTTCAATCACAAAGCGAGCAGGGGATTCAACAAGAATAAAGACTAAGCAAAAATGGGACCTCCAGGTCACATTCTTAAAGCAAAGAATTAGAAAACTCTTCTCTAAACAAAATTAGAGGGGCTGGAGAGATGGCTCAGTGGTCTAAAGCACCTACTTGAAACAAGCTTGGCAAAGCACAGGGACCGCGGTTC